TTCACGTTGCTGCTGAGCGGAGGAGAACCGTTGTCTCTGGCCATCACCGTGGACTTAAAAGCTCCTGAACTGTTCATAATCAAACGATCCCTCACAGCGTGGATCACCCCGTGTCTCCGTTAACAGAACAGATAAGAGGACACCGGGGCACCCGTTTTCACCTCACCAGCTAACAGAGAATAAATCACGGTACCGTTTTGTTCCAGTCGGGTCTCGAGCAGTAACGGAACATAAAGTGGAGCCAGGTTTGTTATTTTCAGTCACATTATGCCTGTACGACTGTTCCTCAAACACAGTGGGTTGTCGTTGATGTCAGCTACAGATAACTCAAACAGTTTTAGAGGAGGACAGAGGGGAGAGCCCTCGTCAGTGGCCAGTGATGTGTAATGTTGTAATCAGACACTAGTTCACGGTCCAGTGTCCTGTGGTCACCAGAGAATAATAGTTTTAATAGAAGGAACCAACTTAAAAGGACATTCTGCTGAATGGAGCAGCGGACCTGTCTGTTATTCTCAGAGTCTCGTCCTGCACGTTAATGATGCCCACCTCTGTACCAGGTGACACGTTCTCGGTATGGGTTGGACAAGTGATTTTCAATATATAACTGGGACATATCATTCATATCAGTAACTTCATTATTAGAGTTGCATATGACGCCGATCCCAGACCATCTGTTGGCGCTGATCTGCATTTACATAAGACCATTTTTTTCATTAATTCAATGGCTCCAGCCACTCGAACGTCTCCGGTTTTAGAGTCTTAAAGAGAAAACATGGTTCCATCTGAAACATGAATCAAATCGTAAGTTAACTTCACCGTCACTCCCTTCGTCTGATCAGTTGCACTTCAACTGTGATCCACCATGTATCTAGAGCGAGTTTTCAGCAGACTGGCTTATAGACGGTTTGGGCTTAAACACTGGTACATTATCCATTAGCATCACAGGACAAGTAGACGTGTGATGACCACAGTCGGCCTCATCTCTGAGTATGAAGCCACCATCAATGCGCCTAAAGCAACAGCATAAATCTCGTTTTGACCTCTCTGTCTAATTCTTTGTCTAAGACTAAGTTCCCATATTTTTCTTCCACTGCCTTTTGACTTAACGGTTTCAGTTTGAAATGTTCGTTCTCTTGAAGGACGTTAGCCCCTGAACAGCCATCTTTCTCGATATCTCCATCGTGTGCTTCATCTAGCAGCAACGCGAAGCCCTTGCTGCGATTCTTGGAATTTCAATCTTAAGTGCATCCTCCTTAAACTGTGGTGAATTACATGATATCCTGAACACGGATACTATACGCGTGCAGTTCAATGGTTTCCAGAACCAGTTCCTGTTTTAGAAACACCGATGCCTTTTGCCACAAAGCCCTTCTCTATCAATCCTTTCTTGAACAGCAAGTCCCCAAGTATTCAGATTTACACCGCAGTACATTAACACTGTTTGTCCTATGTATCAATTCGGGCTCGTGCCGAGCGGACAGGTCTGACCAAATAAGTCCCAGTGATCCTTTTGCAAACATTTCCGATTTACAGATCCACGGTTAACTTTCTTCCGTGAACAGAGTAAGCTCACGTCTCCATAGACCGGGGCAAGGTAGGCACAGGAAAACAATGTAACAAGCCAACGGCCGTAGTGGAAATTCTCAAATCTGCTGTATTCCATTGTTATCCCAGAACACACTTATATATCAAATTGACTCAACAAACAGAGTCACAAATATGTGCACGATGCATCCTGTGAATTCTTCCAATAACACAAAACGTCACAATGACAGTCACTACCACGAGCGTGTTATGTGAACTGCGGCCACAATAGCAGAGAATCAGCGTTTTAATTCCGTTGACCACTGAAGGGTGGAGAATGGCCGTGACTTCTTGTTCACTAGTACACACTGACACCATGAGTATTTCTGAGGTATAACAGGGTGATGTACGTATATTTTTCCATGTGCATATTTACAATATGGACCTCTTCAGTGACAGTTATTTGCCAAAACAACAAGAACAACATAAACAACATTGCTTTGCTAAAAGGCCCATTTTAAATGGAAAAAAAGCAAAACAATCATGAAATTGCTGTGACTGTGCATCAGGAAGAGCCTGTACTTCCAGACAACAATTTGAAAAAGGCACAGACACTATAATATGCCTGAAGACTGTGGTATCTTAACTGAGAGATGAGTACAGGATGGAAAAGCTATGAAGGATACTACAGGAGTGAAGGCCAGGGGCCAGAAGAGGGGGAGTACCTCTTCTGTTCTCCTCTCCCCTGCATTGCTCAACGTTGACTTTTGTANATGGAAAAAAGCAAAACAATCATGAAATTGCTGTGACTGTGCATCGGGAAGAGCCTGTACTTCCAAAAAACAATTTGAAAAAGGCACAGACAGTATAATATGCCTGAAGACAAAGCCAGGACCATTGTCCTTTCAGATATCTTTGTCTTTGAAGTTAGTCTTCCATTATATCTTAAAACTCAATGAGAACTAATATTCAAAAGTCAATTATCCTTCCTTGATGACAGGTTGGTCATATATTTTTCCTCTTTGTGCACTTTCTTCTAATTCCCATTATACTGGTGTAATATGGGATTAAGTACAACAGAGGAAGATTTCAATTGTCTGCAGATTTACATTTGTTTGCCCATATCCTCTGAGAAAACACTTTACACTTGGTAGTTGTGCAGTTGTTGCGCATGTGGAAATATATTACTGTATTTCAAACTGTGAGGCTCAACCTGCACGACCATCTAATGACAATAGTAGATTATGAACTGAAATCGTGTGCTGTAAAACATACCATAAACTGTTTAAAACGTAAAGTAAATGCATATAACACAGAACAATATTCCTGCAAAGCTCATGAAAAGTTGCAAGAGGGATCAGATATATATCTCTATGTATGCTTGAATCTCTTGTGATGAGTAACAAAAACATTATCAAACACTGAAATATAAGTAATGTAAGACTCAATTTTTTAAAAACATGGTGAAAGCTGTTGCTCTACAACACTTTATTTTACTCTGGAGTTCAGCAAATGTTAAAAAAAAAGCTGATAGATATAATCAGTTATTGCAAATATCAGGAGTGCAGAGGTGAAATTTATTTTGTTAAGTTATAACAGTGGATATATATCAGATAGAACAAAGCTACCAAACGCCCAGGAAAAAATACATAGATATTTTAGAAAGCTGCTGTGTCATGATTTGACTCATGTATTGCTTTTATTGATCATTACTCTGTAATGCAAACTGTTTATAAAAGTAAAAATTAATATTAATTGAAAAACACTACAGCAGGGGAAATAAATTTAAGGGAGGACACATTTTTCATGAAAGCATGTCATTACGTTTACAGATAGATGCCAGCTTAGGAAAAGGAGGCCCCACAAACAAAACAGGAAAAACACACAGGCTTCATTTTCACTTTCTTCATGCTGCTCTAATACTGGGTCTACCAAAATTCTGATGAAAATGGATCCAGAAGGGAATTTTACAATGACACCAGCTTAGATAGAGAACATATTCATATGAAAACCTCACAGCCAAAAAATCATATTGTGGAAAAAGCAGTATAATTGAAAATTTTTCAAAAAGTATAATAGATAACAATTTTTTAAATCAGCAGAGCAGATAAGCGAACACAGATCGAAACACAAGGGCAACTTATCTCAAAAACTGTGTAAGACCATGATAAGCAATTCAGCACCAAGGACAGAGACATGAAGCATAGTTTGAAAAGTTTTCCTCACTAGTGCAACAACAAAGCATCCATGTCACTGAAGAAAAACAGATGGACTTAATGAAGACCTCATTGAAAAAACTTAAATACTTGAGGCTTCATTAGAAAAAACAAATGTGAATTTTTTTTACGTTTCATGCCTTTTTATTTTTTACGTGAGTTTAGCACAAATAAGAAGTCTGAAATCTTTAGGAAAATCATGAACTCAAAACGACCTTAAGAACCTTTAAAAGTGTCTGAAATCATCACCACATAAAAGAACAGCAACACCTCAACAAGGGAAAGCAAAATACCAAAATATATTTTTCAGAAAAACTGGATAACTGATTATATCTTTTTCAGAACGAGTGAAATTGAGTTTACTGATATATAAAGTTTCCCTACCTCAGGAGAAGCATCACAATCGCCAAACGCTTCAGCAAAGTCTGATGGACTTTTCTTCAGAGTCTGGTCAGCAGGAAGTGTGTTGTCATTGTATGAAGTCACAAACTTAAAGTCACTGGTTCTAGAACCTGTTGTCAGGTACGCGTCATAGTTGTAAGTGCTGCGTAAAGTTCCTGTGCCGTCAACATCTGCGTAATTAGGAGGGAGATAAGCGCTGGGGATGGCGACTGCTCCGTCAAACAACAGTCTGGGCTTTCTCCTGCGACAAAACCGCACACCCAAAATGACGATGATGAAAGTCAGAAAAAAGGTGGACACAGACACCAGAGCGATAATCAGGTAAGATGTCAGTTTGGAGTTCTTCTCATCATAAGAAATATCCTTCAGTTCTGGCACCTCAGCCAAGTTATCAGAAATAAGTAAATACATGGAACAGGTGGCAGAGAGAGAGGGCTGTCCGTTATCTTTCACTGCCACAATAAGGTTCTGTTTCATGCTGTCAGATTCAGAAATGTCCCGCTGTGTCCTGATCTCTCCGCTGTGGAGACCAATAGTGAAAAGTCCCGGATCAGTGGATTTCACTATATGATAGGACAGCCAGGCGTTCTGTCCGGAGTCCGCGTCCACCGCTATCACTTTGGACACCAGAGAGCCTCCGTGTGCAGCTTTGGGGACCAGCTCGGTCATGAAGGAGTTGCCCTCCGGGGCGGGGTACAGTATCTGAGGAGAGTTGTCGTTCACATCTGATATGAAGACACTGACGGTCACGTTGCTGCTGAGCGGAGGAGAACCGTTGTCTCTGGCCATCACGTGGACTTTAAAGCTCCTGAACTGTTCATAATCAAACGACCTCACAGCGTGGATCACCCCCGTGTCTCCGTTAACAGACAGATAGGAGGACACCGGGGCACCGTTCACCTCACCAGCTAACAGAGAATAAATCACTGTACCGTTTTGTCTCCAGTCGGGGTCTCGAGCAGTAACGGAACATAAAGTGGAGCCAGGTTTGTTATTTTCAGTCACATATGCGCTGTACGACTGTTCCTCAAACACAGGTGGGTTGTCGTTGATGTCAGATACAGATAACTCAACAGTTTTAGAGGATGACAGAGGTGGAGAGCCCTCGTCAGTGGCAGTGATTGTAATGTTGTAATCAGACACTAGTTCACGGTCCAGTTGTCCTGTGGTCACCAGAGAAAAATAATTTTTAATAGAAGGAACCAACTTAAAAGGGACATTCTGCTGAATGGAGCAGCGGACCTGTCTGTTATTCTCAGAGTCTCTGTCCTGCACGTTAATGATGCCCACCTCTGTACCAGGTGACACGTTCTCGGGTATGGGGTTAGACAATGATTTTAAATATATAACAGGGGCATTGTCATTCACATCAGTGACGTCAATTATCACTTTTGCTTCTGAAGAGAGCCCATAGCCATCTTTGGCCTCAACAAACACTTCATATTTGGATCCCTCTTCATAGTCTATGTCACCTGTCACACTGATTTCTCCTGTTTTCTCATCCAGTGAAAAAAGCTTTCGTGATTTATCAGAGAGTCTGCTAAATTCATAGGTAACTTCTCCATTGACTCCTTCGTCTGCATCTGTAGCACTTACAATGATAACTTTGGTTTTAGAGGGTGAGTTTTCCTGTAATGCAGCTGTATATACGGCCTCGGTAAATACTGGGGCGTTATCATTAGCATCAAGAACAATGACGTGTATGACTACAGTCCCGGATCTCTGAGGAGAACCACCATCTACAGCCGTGAGCAATAATTTCATTTCCTGCTGCTCCTCTCGGTCTAACTCCTTGTCTAAAACCAACTCACCATATTTACTGCCAGCACTTGTCGTCTGAATACTAAATACAAAGTGAGGGTTTTGTTGCAAAATGTAGCTTTCGACTGAGTTCTTGCCTATGTCTGCATCGTGGGCTGCATTAATGCGATACCTAGCTCCTTTGATAGCTGACTCTCTAATTTCCAGCTTTATAATATCCTTCGGGAAAATTGGTGCATTGTCGTTCACGTCCTGCACCTGCAGGGACAGCCGGTGTAACTCCAAGGGATTCTCTAATAGCAAGTCGAATTTGAGAACACACGAAGGCTTTTCTCCACAATGCTCCTCTCTGTCTATTCTGTCCGCAACCAATAAATCCCCGTTTCGTAGGTTAATCCCGCAATACTGGCTGTCGCTTCCCTCCATGTCAACACGAGCTTTGCGAGCAGACAGTCTTCCCGCCTCCAGTCCCAGATCCTTGGCGATATTTCCTATAACAGATCCGCGCTTCAGTTCCTCCTCTACAGAATAGCTCAGGTCTCCGTGAGCGTAGTGTACCACAACAAAGAAAAAGACAAAGCCACAGCTTTGAAGAATCCGCTGTCTAGCCATCATCCTACAACAGCTCTACACAAATTAAAACAGGGTAGTTTCAAGCATTAAAAAAAGGTTATTCGGTCAGTGTGTTTGCCTTCAGTGCATTTTTCGTCTTTGTTGAAGGCTGTAGGAAGACAGGGCTGGTCGATCCCAATTGTGGGTGGTGTGCAAAGCAGGCTGAACATTCGACTTCATAGCTGGTCTATACTGACACCGTGAGTATAACTGTATTATAGCAGTTTTCTATAAGTCATGCAAATATTGTCAACACATTTCGAGATAATTTGGCCACAATATTTGAAAATAAACTTATTGTAATGAGATACTGTAAAGTGCAAAGAGGCACCATATCATTAATTCGGCTTGTGGGATGGTTGATCTCACCGTTATTAGGAACTACAAACAAGAGTGCCTCCAAAATAAGAAATGCACCTAAAGCTTTTGACAATGGTACCGGTAAAACAACATTTCCCAATTGTTAAGCAATGTTTGACCACAGATCACGTCGTTTCGCGTTACATGCTAAATGTTTCAAAATCGCTTAGAACTAAATCTCTTGCACTCTCAAAGTAATAGAAAGCTACAATATGTTTTTCGTGTAACATTCAAATGTCTGCCAACAGCTTAACACAGATACCACCTGAATTAAATAACACACTTTAACTAAAGATGCATATTGCATACAAACATCACAAATAGACTGGAATGACAGCATTCATTTCATTTTGCACTGCTTCAGGAAAATCAGATTTTTAATTCGCCTGTGGTGTGACATTGCGGACAAAAGGGTGTTAATAAACTCCCTGCATGAAGGTATACGTCAATAGCAGTAAATAAAAGTAAATCGTTGGTAACATGCAGTTACAAACAAGGAATACTACTCGCTGACTACAAACAATTTTCATCCATGTCAGTACAAATGTCTTTGTTTTCCGTCAAAGAAAAGTACTGCCGTAATATACAGCATAAACTTTAAGCGTAAATGGCACTTAGGTGTGTCAAGAAAACACACTGGTGAACTAAAGCATGATCTAAAAAGTTTGACATGTAAAAATAGAAGACATGACATGTGAATTACTCCAGAAAATACATCACAAGTAGCGCTAAGTTCAGCACCAAGGACAGAGGCACAGAGCTAAAGCTGCAACTCTGCTCTTAGACTCAGAAAGACATACAAACGAACGGATGGCGTGTGAACGAACGGATGGCGTGTGATACCGTTTTAACGAAAAGTATACGAAGTCTAGATCAACTGTCACTCGATTGATGACAAATATTGAAATATCTACATAATACAATCAAAAAATACCCCCAAAAGTGAACTAAAAAGACAACTACAACATTAATATTTGTCATGCTCCATGATACATTATCAAGATCACTGTATGCATTTAGGATAAAAATTAAAATAATGACTTCATCTAGAAGGTTCTAGTTACCATTTTTAATGTGACGTGTATTTATAGAAAGTAACTACAAGGCAAACGTGTGTTACATTGTTAAAATGGATGTTTCTGAAGAAAAGGAGACACGAAAAGCAAATAGAAAAAACGCATGTTATTGAAGGAGTCATTAAAAGTGCGAATAGAAATATGTCAAAATAGTGACCACTGACCCTACCTCAGGAGAAGTATCACAATCTCCAAACGCTTCAGCAAAGTCTGAAGGACTTTTCTTCAGAGTCTGGTCAGCAGGAAGTGTGTTGTCATTGTAAGATGTCACAAACTTAAAGTCACTGGTTCTAGAACCTGTTGTCAGGTACGCGTCATAGTTGTAAGTGCTGCGTAAAGTTCCTGTGCCGTCAACATCTGCGTAATTAGGAGGCAGATAAGCGCTGGGGATGGCGACTGCTCCGTCAAACAACAGTCTGGGCTTTCTCCTGCGACAAAACCTCACACCCAAAATGACGATGATGAAAGTCAGAAAAAAGGTGGACACAGACACAAGAGCGATAATCAGGTAAGATGTCAGTTTGGAGTTCTTCTCATCATAAGAAATATCCTTCAGTTCCGGCACCTCAGCCAAGTTATCAGAAATAAGTAAATACATGGAACAGGTGGCAGAGAGAGATGGCTGTCCGTTATCTTCCACTGCCACAATAAGGTTCTGTTTCATGCTGTCGGATTCAGAAATGTCCCGCTGTGTCCTGATCTCTCCGCTGTGGAGACCAATAATGAAAAGTCCCGGATCAGTGGATTTCACTATATGATAGGACAGCCAGGCGTTCTGTCCGGAGTCTGCGTCCACCGCTATCACTTTGGACACCAGAGAGCCTCCGTGTGCAGCTTTGGGGACCAGCTCGGTCATGAAGGAGTTGCCCTCCGGGGCGGGGTACAGTATCTGAGGAGAGTTGTCGTTCACATCTGATATGAAGACACTGACGGTCACGTTGCTGCTGAGCGGAGGAGAACCGTTGTCTCTGGCCATCACGTGGACTTTAAAGCTCCTGAACTGTTCATAATCAAACGACCTCACAGCGTGGATCACCCCCGTGTCTCCGTTAACAGACAGACAGGAGGACACCGGGGAACCGTTCACCTCACCAGCTAACAGAGAATAAATCACGGTACCGTTTTGTCTCCAGTCGGGGTCTCGAGCAGTAACGGAACATAAAGTGGAGCCAGGTTCGTTATTTTCAGTCACATATGCGCTGTACGACTGTTCCTCGAACACAGGTGGGTTGTCGTTGATGTCAGCTACAGATAACTCAACAGTTTTAGAGGAGGACAGAGGTGGAGAGCCCTCGTCAGTGGCAGTGATTGTAATGTTGTAATCAGACACTAGTTCACGGTCCAGTTGTCCTGTGGTCACCAGAGAATAATAGTTTTTAATAGAAGGAACCAATTTAAAAGGGACATTCTGCTGAATGGAGCAGCGGACCTGTCTGTTATTCTCAGAGTCTCTGTCCTGCACGTTAATGATGCCCACCTCTGTACCAGGTGACACGTTCTCAGGTATGGGGTTGGACAGTGATTTTAAACTGATAGCAGGTGGGTTGTCATTGACATCTGTTATATCTATAATTACTGTACAATATGAAGTAAGACCTGGTCCATCTTTTGCTCTTATTCGCAGTTCAATGCTGGTCTCAGTCTCATAATCGACAGACCCAATGACTTTTATCTCTCCTGTCTTGTGATCAAGTGAAAACAATGAGACATGATCATCAGATACATGATCAAAATTGTACGTGATATCACCATTGGGCCCTGCGTCAGCATCGGTAGCGCTCACTGCAATAACTATTGTATCTAAAGGTGTGTTTTCAGGCAGAGTGGCTTTATAAACAGTCTGGCTAAACAATGGGGCGTTATCATTAGCATCCAGCACAGTGACGTGAATGATGGCAGTACCTGATCTCTGAGGAGAACCACCATCTAGAGCTGTTAGCACTAATTTTAGTTCTTGCTCCTGTTCCCGGTCTAATTCTTTCACCAAAACCAATTCAGAGTGTTTCCGTCCACCACCATCGGTATCTACATTAATAGTAAAATGCTCATTCTTTTGTAAATTGTAGCGCTGTACCGCATTAGTACCGATATCTGCATCACGGGCTTCAGTTAGTAAGAATCTAGCTCCTTTGTCTGCTGATTCGGTTATTTCAAAGGAAATCAAGTCCTCACTAAACTGCGGGGCGTTGTCGTTTGTATCTTGCACGCGAATGCTGACACGATGAAGCTCTAAGGGGTTTTCCAAAACAAGCTCCTCTTTTAAAACGCAAGTGGCCTTCTTACCACAAAGACCTTCTCTATCGATCCTGTCATTAACAATCAAATCTCCGGTGCTCAGATTAATATCACAATACCGCTTGTCATTCTGGTCCGTGTCAATGCGAGCCTTACGCGAGGAAAGCGTAGCAGTCCCGAGGCCGAGATCTTTTGCTATATTTCCAATCACAGACCCACGTTTCATCTCCTCTGCAACAGAGTAGCTCACGTCTCCATTCGCGGAATGCAGGCTGATGAAAAGGAAAACAACACAATAGCGATTCATAGAAAATCCTCTGTACACTGTTTTCTCCATGATCGACCAGGCCTTCATCCCTCTCTGGCAAACTCTGTCAACGTGATCAAAGACTAATGTATTCCTCGTAATTAATGATCCGAATATCAACACAAAGTAGGCCCTTTGTATCCTTCACCGACATACACACCGCACCACAAGGACGCTTTGATATGGTGGAAAAGAATGGATGAATCAACGGACACTTTCTGCCTTTGTTGGTGCACAGTGACACCAAGAGTTTCAATCAATTATAGCACTTCAATCCAAAACAAATGGCAAATTTCGCTGCCTATATCAAGGCATAAGTTTCTGTTCTTTGGTCATTATGCAATTTTCATAAGGACACTGTTATGAAGATTTTGTTCTAGTTATATTTACAATTATAGATGACCAAGCAACTGCTGTGATTGCCTCATCCCTTGTCGATATGATCTCCTTCTCTGAAGAGGCTTCACTGTTGTTTGAGCATTGAATATTTTCTGCACCTTGCTTTTCATAAGCTGTCTGTGAAACAAATACTCCTATATATACAACATAATACTGCAAAATATACTCAATGCTGTTCTTGAGTATTTACTGAAAAAGTGAAACATCCATCTCAATTCAATTTAAAGATAATGAGCACAAAGACTGACTGTATAAAAATGCAATGTAAAATTGTGCTATTAACTAAAACTAAAAAAATCGAGGTTAAATAACAAAGACACGCAATGCACATCATTCAGTGTCGACCATATGTTAAACATAGTTTCATGGAGACCAGCATGACTCCTCTCTGTATTACAGACAGGGACAAAGAAGTGACAAAACAGCAAATAAAAAGGGAAACATCCAGTGGAAATATTTTTTAAAAGTGTTGTTATGTTCAAAATGTGCTGGAATTTGCCATGTGTGTAGCAAAATAAGATGTTTGGTTAGACATGTAATTGTAAAGCACATCCAAAATACCAAAATCAAATAGGCCATTGTACACAAATCCCTTGTGTATGTACTGTGTTAAAATTTTACTTGGTAAAGAAACATAAATGATTTATTTGGACTTGTTAAATAGACCACATTAACAAACCAAAACACATCAAATGTAATGATCCATTATCACACTCAATATGCACCTAAATCAAAAAAAAAAAAAAAACACCAAATTGGAATATTCCTTTATAAGAGGACAACCCTTACATCTATTTAGATGGTCAAGCTATTTGGTGACATTCTGAAAGGAGAGGATGTATAGGCCAACTGACACCATATACGTGTATTTTCAAAGACAACAACTTCCAGGTAAATAAAATGCATTATTGCATCATGTAAGAACATGCATGACATACCAAGAGAGCTTAGGTTCAGTCCCATTGAAAAAATTAACATAGCCTATTTTCCTAAGCAAAGACAAACACCCTCGCACTTAATGCTTGACAATAAAATTCTAATGCAAAAGCACAAACCTCAAAACAACAAAAGTATGTTGAAGCGTCAGATATGAGAGATAAGAAAAAATGTCTATGATGGAAACCCCCAACCCCCAAAACACTAAACAAATAAACACAGTTTTTTTAAAATGAATACATCTGTGTTTAGATACAGCTGAAAATGCCATACCTCGTTGATAATAAATTTCACTCAAATTGATTTCCTCAGACTTTACTATTTCTCACCCTGTTTAAATAGGTAGCCCTTCTTTTTCTGTATTAACCTAAATTTTACCCTATGAAAATTTAAAGTAATGTACAATGTCGCTGTGTAAATTGTTTAAAATCTTCTTAATGACATACTGTTGTAACAGTATTAATGCACAATTTTGCCATAAGTTCCTCTAAATTGTGTTATCCATCAAATTTTGATAAGTTTATCTTTTCAGCAGCAGTGTGCAGTATCTTAAAGTTTACCCAATCACCAGATAAAAAGTGAACTTTAAAGTTGAAATCGCACATTTGAAGTGATATGTATTGCTTTCAATTTGTTTCCTGTGTTCTTCTGCCACATCTTTGTGCAAAATGTACAGGAATAAGAACATTGCAGAATCAAAATTAGGTCTTCCTCATTCTACTTATTTGTAGCATGAAAGCATGACAGACAAACGAATACAGTGACACTCCAAATACAATCTACTCCAGCTAACTAGGTCTGTAGCAATATGTTGTATCAATAAAGTTCTGGAATCATCGGAGAACATAACTGAACCAGTGCATGTTCAACAGGAAACCTACTATTCCATACAGTTATGGTGTTTTTAACATTCCTGCTCAGCCAGCATGGACAGAAACACATACATCACTTTAATACAACACAAGAAAGTGTCAAAATAATTTTATAGCTGATATACGAAAAACGGCATTTGCTCAATGTAGTTTTACTGGAAAATCATTTGCCATCAAAAAGTGGCTTTTGTTATTCTTAAGTTACTCCATCAGGTCAAAAAATAATTTGCCAAGACTTAACAGAAGGTCTGCAGCCACCATTTCAGTCATCACTCACTCAAGCATCTGAACTTTTATGCAACTGCTGTCACAAAGCTATAACTCAAAGGTTGGTTATTTATTTCATCTCAAAATATACATGTAAAAGGCTGAAACTAAAAAAACAGAATTAAACTAGCCATGAGTGCAAGCTTTCCCAGTGTGTATAATGAGTGAGTGTATACTGAGAGTATACTGCCCCCATCTGCAGTCTACAATGCCTTGAAATACATATTTTGAAAGGTGACAAAGGAAATAAGAAATTTTATCAGTACTAAGACCTTGATGATGCAGATTAGGCAAATATAACTCCAGTTCTTAACTTAATTTTGAAATTAAATATCCTGTTATTCAAAAATGCAACAGTTGGCAAGCTGTTCAGGATGAAGACTGCTGATATTCTTATCAATAGACTTGAATTGATATAACTGTGCAAAACTATGAACAGGGACACAATATGAGCAAATTAATATCCACTGTAAAATGGAAGCAAAACAGTAAAAAGGCGAGTAGTGGTGAAACACCTATCACAAAAATATAATATATGGCTGCCTACCTCAAGGGACTCCTCTGAGTGACTAAACGCATCAGCAAAGTCTGATGGACTTTTCTTCAGAGTCTGGTCAGCAGGAAGCGTGTTGTCATTGTAAGATGTCACAAACTTAAAGTCACTGGTTCTAGAACCTGTTGTCAGGTACGCGTCATAATTGTAAGTACTGCGTAAAGTTCCTGTGCCGTCAACATCTGCGTAATTAGGAGGCAGATAAGCGCTGGGGATGGCGACTGCTCCGTCAAACAACAGTCTGGGCTTTCTCCTGCGACAAAACCTCACACCCAGAATGATGATGATGAAAGTCAGAAAAAAGGTGGACACAGACACCAGAGCGATGATCAGGTAAGAGGTCAGTTTGGAATTCTTCTCATCATAAGAAATATCCTTCAGTTCTGGCACCTCAGCCAAGTTATCAGAAATAAGTAAATACATGGAACAGGTGGCAGAGAGAGAGGGCTGTCCGTTATCTTTCACTGCCACAATAAGGTTCTGTTTCATGCTGTCAGATTCAGAAATGTCCCGCTGTGTCCTGATCTCTCCGCTGTGGAGACCAATAGTGAAAAGTCCCGGATCAGTGGATTTCACTATATGATAGGACAGCCAGGCGTTCTGTCCGGAGTCCGCGTCCACCGCTATTACTTTGGACACCAGAGAGCCTCCGTGTGCAGCTTTGGGGACCAGCTCGGTCATGAAGGAGTTGCCCTCCGGGGCGGGGTACAGTATCTGAGGAGAGTTGTCGTTCACATCTGATATGAAGACACTGACGGTCACGTTGCTGCTGAGCGGAGGAGAACCGTTGTCTCTGGCCATCACGTGGACTTTAAAGCTCCTGAACTGTTCATAATCAAACGACCTCACAGCGTGGATCACCCCCGTGTCTCCGTTAACAGAAAGATAGGAGGACACCGGGGCACCGTTCACCTCACCAGCTAACAGAGAATAAATCACTGTACCGTTTTGTCTCCAGTCGGGGTCTCGAGCAGTAACGGAACATAAAGTGGAGCCAGGTTTGTTATTTTCAGTCACATATGCGCTGTACGACTGTTCCTCAAACACAGGTGGGTTGTCGTTGATGTCAGCTACAGATAACTCAACAGTTTTAGAGGAGGACAGAGGTGGAGAGCCCTCGTCAGTGGCAGTGATTGTAATGTTGTAATCAGACACTAGTTCACGGTCCAGTTGTCCTGTGGTCACTAGAGAATAATAGTTTTTAATAGAAGGAACCAACTTAAAAGGGACATTCTGCTGAATGGAGCAGCGGACCTGTCTGTTATTCTCAGAGTCTCTGTCCTGCACGTTAATGATGCCCACCTCTGTACCAGGTGACACGTCCTCAGGTATGGGGTTATTAAGAGATTTTAAATATATAGCCGGGGCATTGTCATTCACATCCGTGACGTCAATTATCACTTTTGCTTCTGAAGAGAGCCCATAGCCATCTTTGGCCTCAACAAACACTTCGTATTTGGATCCCTCTTCATAATCTATGTCACCTGTCACACTGATTTCTCCTGTTTTCTCATCCAGTGAAAAAAGCTTTTGTGATTTATCAGAGAGTCTGCTAAATTCATAGGTAACTTCTCCATTGACTCCTTCGTCTGCATCTGTAGCACTTACAATGATAACTTTGGTTTTCAAGGGTGAGTTTTCCGGTAATGCAGCTGTATATACGGCCTCGGTAAATACTGGTGCGTTATCATTAGCATCAAGAACAATGACGTGTATGACTACAGTCCCGGATCTCTGAGGAGAACCACCATCTACAGCCGTGAGCAATAATTTCATTTCCTGCTGCTCCTCTCGGTCTAACTCCTTGTCTAAAACCAACTCACCATATTTACTGCCAGCACTTGTCGTCTGTATACTAAACACAAAGTGAGGGTTTTGTTGCAAAATGTAGCTTTCGACTGAGTTCTTGCCTATGTCTGCATCTTGTGCTGCATTAATGCGATACCTAGCTCCTTTGACAGCTGACTCTCTAATTTCCAGCTTTATAATGTCTTTCGGAAAAA